CCGTTCACTGCTAAACCCTGCGTCATCAGAAAAATATCAGCACCTGAGCAGATCGACATCCAAAGGGAACGCCTACATTGGCACCAACACATCGACTATTAATTGTATCCCGCTTCAACGATAATGACTGTGCAGTTGAAGCTGGACAACAAATACACCTTATATATGCACAGTTCTGATCTAAGCAACGCATTCTTACATTGTGCTGGTGGAGGTAAAGGCAAAGGGTAACCAACGATATAAGCACACTACAGATATAAGCACACTTCAAATATAAGCACGGCTGGACTTGCTGCCAAGGGGTGTGCTTCTATCCAGTTTATACTGGAGTTGAATTAAATTTATCAGAACAAAAACAGTAATGACGCTTTTTCTAGATACACATATGACTGGTCCACTCTATAAAGAGTTTTAGAAGGGATGAAAGGTAAAATAATATTTTGCCGCAGTAGTTTCATGGCAAAACAAAATGAGAAAATTTCGCACTGCGGTGATGAGCCGAGCATTACGTTGAATGCAAAATCATCAGCAGATCAAGGCCCGCATGTTAGAATTCCCCACATTAACAACAGAGCAACAACACATGTACCGCAGCCCTGCCTACGAAGCTGGACCTCTTCAATCTAAAAAAAACTAAAATTGCTCCATATTCACACGAATCAAGTTAACTCTTCGTTGTGAGTGTGAAATATGGATTGGGTTGGGGTTATACACTCTTTACTGTATCCATATTTCATATTGCTGCGTTTTGGCAGGTTAATGACATTCAAACTGTATAATAAACGTAATTGGGCTTGGGAAGGACAGCTAATTAGGAGGCATTATAGCCAATGGTTAAGAATACTGTAAATATTGGAGTGGCGGTCAATGATTATAAAGAGTCCAATAGAATGATCACAGGAGAGGTAGAAACATGAAATACATTTGTATGCAGGTGCAAGGTGGATTGTTATATGGCACCATCGTGAGAGTTGGCAGCAGTTTCGAGAAGCCTTCATCCAGCAGTGGGCGACTATGGCTGATGATGATGATGATTATTATTATTTTGGTAAAGCAATAGTCATGGTTTATTCGGAAAATGATTGTTTCACTCTGGTACGACCTCCTGGATAGACAAATATAATTAAACATCTTCTAGCTCAACACGTAACAAAAATTGGCTTTGATCATTTTTCTATAATTTATTTATGACATCTTTGTTCATAAAATACTGTGGTTAGTATAGAAGCAAATGGCAATTTTGTATATTAAATATGTAATGATTCAACGTGCTTAGTATGATCGAATTGACCAAGGGCACTATTCATATTAAATTAACTATTGGAGCGCTCTGTATAATCAGGAAAGACAGATGGCTTTGTATGAAGCCTTGTCGTCACTAAAATGATTCTTGGATTTCATTTAACCCATAAATATCCTGGGGTTTTAAGCTTCAAAATAAAGCATTGTTCATGTTTCATTAGGAAGATGGTCAAATATGTTAAAGCGAGCTCAGGGCTTGAGAGTGGGCGTGCTGAGAAAAAAATAGTTTTACAGCACTATATAGAGTCCATCATAATTGCATGCATTATACATTTAGCATATTTCAGCAAAGGAATGGAACGCGTCTGAGAGGATGTCCAATGAGAATGATGGGAGTGATGAAATCAGCTCGTGTGGGGTGCGGGAAGAATTATTGCATTTCAGGATCATTAAAGATGGCGACTGATTGTGGAGACCTTCATCCAGCAGTGGTTTGATCATGGGTGATGATGACATTTATATTTTTTGTGTATTTCGGAGCTGAGGTGGCAAATTTTCTATTGCATCCAAGCACTAAGTTGGCAAGTCTTAGATCCTGGATTAGAATCCGGGCATTGACCCCTTATTAAACAAATGTTTTCATGTAGAGAGGCGATGGTCTCATCCCAGTAACCAATGACTGCACAGACAAAAATTATATAAAATGTGGAATTTCACTAAACTTATATTGTTCCAACACTGATAATCAAACAATGGTTTTACTGAAGAGTGATTCATGCGCCTTGTAAGGTATATAAAGGTGCACCTAGAGTGTGGATTAAAGGCAAGTGACTTTGAAATAATCTTTGCGATGTCATCTTCATTGGTCGTTCTTCCTGTGAAAATTCGAAGTAGATATGTATTCAATTTGTTCCGTGAAACCAATCGTATAATTGCAATGTAACTGAAAAAAGCAATAGTTCCCCTGATTTAAATTAAATGCAGTTAATGCAGCAAGCTTACGCGAGTAAAACTTCCAAGTGCTCTTGCCTTGGTCACATTCCTGTTTACGACCAGAGATTTCAACTTCAACGTCAGCAAGCAGCCATAATCTATCCACTGCTGGTTGAAGGCCTCCCCAAACAAATCTGTGATGTGGAAATCCATCGAGCAGGAGCTAGATGAATTGCCACGTACAACTAGCTCCTGCTATATAGATTGGTGATTTAAACGCTCCATCTCCGTACCCATCTGGGAGCGTTTCCTCCTTTGGCTTCCACTCTGTCATTGTGTGTATGTTGACCTTCTTTCGCACCATACGTAGGCAACCGTGATAATCGGAAGTGCGGTGTCGTTAGTCTATACCATGGCTGTAACTCGATGTTTAAATATATACAGTGTACATGCAAACAACATTATTTAGATCAGCATCCTAATCATTTTTACATTCAACTAAATGTTTTCACAGTCTACAAAATGAACGCACATCTTATTTTAGCATCAGAATCAGAATATTTATTTATACTGGAGGAATTCGATGAGCTAAAATAGCTCTTTTCCACAGATGCCCAGTAGGGGCGGGTCAGAACGATAGAACAACAAGACAAAAACACATTGCAGGTGACGTTCAGTCTCAAAAGCAAGCCGTATCAACCGTGCTGGTAAAGTAGTGCAAGCGTCGTTTAGGAGGCAGAGGGCTCAGAATCGCCTCCCCTATCGATGCTTTTTCAGCCATCAATGGGGCTCGTTTGGCGGAGAAAATAAATTGCATCTCGTATGCTATCTGACATCATGTAGTAACTCACGGGGGTACACTCTGGTACAAATGTGTGCATTAAACGCCGCTAGGATATTTCGATAAGTCAGTTCAAGCCCCCTGGAAGAGGTAAGCAAGACAATTATTTAGCATCGTACTGTCGTAGGTTGTTTTGATTGCTGTTGAGTCATTGGTGGATTTTGATAAAATTGTTCTATTTCACTGGATGGCCGAATAGAAAAAACGACCCTGCATTCAAGCACATGGATAGAAAAGCGAGTCAAACTTGTTTTATTGGAAGTATTTAATTGTCTCCTAAACATTAGTATGGCGGCTGATGGTGTAAGTACCTCAAATGGAACAGTAAAGGGATTTATGGAATCCCCACAAGCATTTAAAATTCAAACTTGAGAAGCATTTACGGGACATTAATTTTTTTATGGCATGGTCATCTTGCACAAGACCCCCAGATAGGATGCCCTCCAGATACGATGTTCCTATTACATAGAGTCGTAATGTATTATGTAGACAATGAGGATGGATGCTTCAATTGGTTTGACTTGCAGTGCACCTAATACCTGTGAATTAAGATTCCAATGATCTAGCCTTGACAGAAAAACAATAAGGCCACCCCTACGCACACACAAGGTTCTGTCTCGTGAAAGCGGTAATTGCACACATACAGGCATATACGGTTTAACATATGGTTGTGATTGTCACTGGGGCAGCCAGATGCACTTTATCTGTCTTTTTTCATTCAAGGTCTCCCATGTAAAAGACTTGTATCAGTGGGCGAGTTCCGTTTTTAAAATAAAAATTTATTTCATTGATAGACATGTCATCTCCTGATTCTCCTCCCATCAATGCCATGCGACGTCACAGCAGAATTCCTCCTTTCTGTGGCCCTATTACCTGCTACTCTTTATTATCCAAGGAACCTTTAGGGTCTGTAAAAACTCGTTATTGGCACCCATATTCCTCATTACCTGTATGCTTCCCCGTCTCCAATTGCGGAATGGCTTATTATCTAAAAAAATGTTCACAGATGAGTGGAGGTCAATAGCAAATAAATTCTAATACTCAATTATCTACCACTTTTTTTTGGGAGGGGGGGGGGGTGAATTGACATAAGTTCACGGATTACATCGCAGAACTAGGATTTGCGATAGCTGCCCCTCCACATCATAGCGGACAAGCGGAGTTGTTCTATAATCATCTACTCGTATCCCACAGTATTTAGTAAGCAGGACAAGTTCAGACCCAGGATATCATTGGCAAGCGTAGGAGGCTCCTAGTAATGTGGCAGCCATGCCCCACGTTAGAATATATCTCTGTAGAGAATTATTGCAACGTGAAAGACCTATATTAGCAAAGGTTTTGCCTCGCGTGCTTGCCAGAGACCCCCCCCCCACCCTATTGGCTGAGATGGCACAATTCCCACTTGGCCAAACTTGTCCAAGAATATAATTGGCCCATTTGACCGTCCGAAACAACAAGAACTTTAAAAACAAATAATTTTATGTGTAACAAAAATACACCCGACCATCTTCAAATAAAAACACACAAAACATAGCCAATCGCCTAGAGTCCTACACGGACGGAAACAGCTGGGGGTCTCATACAGTGCAACGTTTCACATCTGGACTTTGCTGTAATCAAAACACACTGCTCAGTTTGGCGGGACTGGCGTTTCCCAGTCCCCCCCCCTGGTCTCTTTCACAAACGCACAAAAGTGTCCCGTTTTTGCAAGTATTGCACCGCTGTGTATGTCACCACTTCGTTTGCAAACGACACAAAGTCTTGAAATTATGTTTTTGTATTGTGTTGTACAGACTGCTACAGTGTGTGTGTGTGTGGGGGGGGGGGGTTACCAAAAGGCGAGTCGAGTGAAGAATGCAACACAAAGAGAGACGGGGGCCGGGAGAGAGGGAGGGAGTGAGTCGAGACTGAGTTAAAGCCAAACTTTTCCTCCCCTCCCAACTCCTTTGCACTAACGACAAACATATGAACAAAGATAAGTTACCTTCCACTCCGAGCGAAGCAGCTTTGCTGGTCTCTCCACAAACACAGGCCAGGGAGAGGACAAGCATCATCATCACCACGACCACCATCTCCTCCATCAGCTGAAGGAATAGGGAGAATCTTGCCACCACGGCTTGGCTGGGAAGCGCAGCGCGCCTGCTTCCCATGATCCCGAACTATCGTCTTCTCCTCCTCCTCCTCCCTCCCGTCGTTCCTCTTCTGTTGTGCGGCGCAGCTTGAACGGGTGACTCGGCATCACCCGGCTACGCCTGCTCCACAATAGCAGCAGCAGCAGGAGGAACAGGAGGAGGAGGAGGAACAGGAGGAGGAGGAGGCGCGCGCACAGCCACAAGCAGAATTCAAGAGGAGGAGCAGCGGTTGCAATCAGCCAGCCAGCCAGCCAGCCCCCCGCGCGTTGTCGCGATGTCGCCCTGCGGCAGGCGCAAGGCGAATGCGTGAGGAATCCCGCGTGCGCTGCGCTGGCAGAGAGAGAGAGGGGAACAATGACGATGGCGAGGATGAAGCCGCGACTCGAGTTCGGCGGAGCAGCGCTTCCACTGACCAATGCTGACGGGAGCAGCAGCCACGGCAAGCAAAGGACCTTCCCCCTTTGGAGGATGAATAAGAACTAAAATAACGCGTGTGATCTTTGGGAATTCGCCGGCTGCTTCTCGTTAGGAATAAACGAATTAAATTGCACGACCGGACGAAAGGGTTGTTTTGTTGTTGTTGTTGTCGTGTATTTGATTTTAGTTTTAACCGAGCGGCTTAACAATCTCTCAACAGTTGTCTGCGCCAGTCCATGTCGTTCCCTTGCTATGGGTTAGAGAGAATGGTTGGGATCTGCTAGCCCACAAACCCCCCAAAAAAACGTCGCCCAGAGTCACTCGCCCAAGCACACAACAAACGTCGCTATTCGCATTGGATCAATTCCTTCTTCCAGACAGGGGAACTCACTCATTCAGTCTCCACCAGCCACTTGCCTCGCACTCTCGAGGATGATTACCCACCCCCCCTACCCCCAGAAAGACCACGGGGCAAAAAAACAAGAGAGAGAGAGGAACGCGGTGTGGAGTTTCGTGCTTTCAACAAATTGAGGACGTGCGGAGGGGAGGGGGTGTTAGCGGCGGTTTAGGCTCGCAGAGGCTGGAATGTGAGTGACTAAATGAGGGGTGGGATGGATGGATGGGTGGGTGGGATGGGTGGGATGGAATGATGGATGGATGGGTGGGATGGATGGATGGATGGGTGGATGGATGGGTGGGATGGATGGATGGGATGGGTGGGATGGATGGATGGATGGATGGGTGGAATGGATGTGATGGGTGGGATGGATGGATGGATGGGTGGGATGGGTGGGATGGATGGGTGGGATGGATGGATGGATGGGTGGGATGGGTGGGATGGGTGGGATGGATGGATGGATGGGTGGGATGGATGGATGGATGGATGGGTGGGATGGATGGATGGATGGATGGGTGGGATGGATGGATGGATGGATGGTGGGATGGATGGATGGATGGATGGGTGGGATGGTGGGGATGGATGGATGGATGGATGGATGGATGGATGGATGGGGTGGGATGGATGGGTGGGATGGGTGGGATGGATGGATGGATGGGATGGGTGGGATGGATGGATGGGATGGATGGGTGGGATGGGTGGGATGGATGGATGGGATGGATGGATGGATGGGTGGGATGGGTGGGATGGATGGATGGGATGGATGGATGGGTGGGATGGGTGGGATGGATGGATGGGATGGAGGGTGGGATGGATGGGTGGGATGGGTGGGATGGATGGATGGGATGGATGGATGGATGGGTGGATGGATGGATGGGTGGGATGGATGGATGGGTGGGATGGGTGGGATGGATGGGTGGGATGGATGGGTGGGATGGGTGGGATGGATGGATGGGTGGGATGGATGGATGGGTGGATGGATGGGTGGGATGGGTGGGATGGATGGGTGGGATGGATGGATGGGTGGGATGGGTGGGATGGATGGATGGGTGGGATGGGTGGGATGGATGGATGGATGGGTGGGATGGGTGGGATGGATGGATGGATAGATGGGTGGGATGGATGGATGGGATTGATGGATGGGTGGGTGGGTTGTCTAAGATCGGCAGAATCAAGCTGGTGGATGCAGGCAGGCAGCCTTCTGTGCTCTCAATTCGGAACGCGTCCGCTCGGCGTGCGCGTCTACCGCCTGGCCACCTTCCAGCGTGCATCATCAGACGCTCCAGAGAAGTAAAATATGCACCGCAAGAGAGAAAAAGGAAAAGCAAGTCGTGTGATCTCGCGGTGTCAATTAAATGCTATGTGTGTGTGTGGTTGCACACAAAGACTACGATCCTCCGTATTGCCTGAGCAGACTGTTGGGGCAAGTGCTGTTGTCGAGCACCATACAGACACACAGACACACTTCAGGTGTTGCTTTAGAACATAGGGAAGGGGGGGGGGGTACGTCTTATAATCAGAGGATTACGCTCATACACAATTAACAAGTTCCCCTGAACTTCTTTCGCACCGTACGTAGCCACCCGGTCTTCTTAAAACCCTTTCGCATATTCAGGGAACGTGGAGGGAGCCTCCCTCCTTCTAAATGTCTTGAATCGAGGCAGGCGACGGTGAAGGCGCAGCGCCTGCAATGTCTCGCTCACGCCGCTGTTGGCCGCAGGGCTTCCACTTCGAGCCCTGCCCTTCAATGGGTGTTTTTTGGCCTCCGCCTTCTCGTCCACGCGAACCAGACGTCTCTAAAAGAAATGGGAGTCACCGACCATTCTACTCCGCCACTGTTCACCCAGCAGGGAATTCTTGTCGTCAACGGAGTGGTTGTTGGTGGTGCCGGTATTTAACAGAGGCGGTGGTTTCTGTTTAAATTCAACCACTCCCGGTACGCATTCGGTGTGATCTGGATACAGAATGAACCATAGACGAATGTCGATCATGTTGCTGCTACTCGTTCCATTCAGCGTTTAACTATGCCTCCCCCCCCATCACTGCCCACCCGGCGTCGACCCTCGACACAAGGTCACAAAGCACCTTATACATGATTAGCCCACTCGCCGTTTCTCAGGAGTAATCCTTTATTTAAATCCTTTATATTAAGTTCGCTTGCTTGCTTAGGACCGTGCAAATCTTTCGGTCGTTTTTTAACCCACTTCCCGTGATCCAATCGAGCTGACATTTTGCACACAGGCTCGTTGTGCGTGACAATGCATTTTCGTGAAAACATTTTTTCCAAAAGTTTACACTGTTTAGGGAATTTTTTTAAAATATTTAATTACCAATTGTTTAATGCTGCTAGACAATCATCTGACCCATAGGTGGCAGCCATCTCAAGCCAGAGGACGAGAGGACTCGAGCCGCCCCGATGGCACGCATATAAAGGATTTATAGTGAAAACTTTGTTTTTACGGGTTTACTTGTTTTAGATGTCACCTGATTAGGATGTTCGGCAAATTCCTTTCGACGATGTTTTATGTCGGGCGCGGCAGGGAAACGAGGAATGTGCTGGAGAAACACCCAGCGAGGTTGGATTGCTACCCCGAATCTCAAGAGACAAGACTGAACGTTGTAAAACTGTAAAGCACTGCCTCCTAAAGACAACCGCAGTGCGATGCAGGGGGGCATCGGTGCCACGGACGATAGCTTGAGTTTTGTGTGATTCATGGATCCGACCTGGCATGTGCCAACCACGTGTGAGAAAACCGCAGTCGCGTCACTAACGGAATGTTTAAAAAAAAGTATGATTCAGCAGGTCTGGCTTACTCATGAAGTCAAAGTTATTGGATAGATAAACCCAATAAGATAACGAAACTGTAGTTATCATGAAAGGTTATCAAATACTGTTTTCTATGTGAACAGTGGAGCCAAAGGGGTTTATTCATATGTATGAAGCACCAAGGGTCTAGCACCTTGCTTGAATGTCTGCGATTGCTTTCAAAGCAAGATAATTAAACGTATACAATTGCGGTGCACGTACGCTTATTTTGTTTATTACATATGTATTATTAGCTACGGTTGCTGTTGTTAACCTGTAGCTTCCCACTGCTTGGAAAAAGCCTGACCCCATTTCCTTCCACGTCTTCATTTCCTATATTGCTCCTGCCCAGTCGCGGCCAATGAACTCGTTGATTCGTCGTTTCTCCATCTCGATCTTCCGATGCCTTCCACAGCTTGTGTTTGCCTCCTCTTGGTATGCACTCCGGAGTTCGCGGTCGTGTGGATTAAACACATTCCTGCGGAGGGAGCTGGTAGGAACGTCGGGTTGCTCGGTCAATGGCCTGCAGGGTCAACGGCGGCGTGGTGTATTCCGCAAATATGCCCGACTGTGAGGGCGGGCACAAGCCGGCGTGAGTAGGTTAAACGTTGAGTTTTATAAGGGCACCACGGGGTGACCAGCCCCTCCCCACCCAGCCCCTCCCCTCCCACCCAGTCCCACCCTCCCCACCCTCACCTCCCCACCCAGCCCCTCCCTCCCCACCCAGCCCCTCCCTGCACGACGGACACAATAATCCCTGTGGGCTGGTGCAACCAGGAGGTTCCTACCAATATGACTAAATTACGAGTTGTTTTTAGCGAGTCACAGTTGACTGTAATACATTGTATATCTTCTTGCCGATTCTCAATTGAGCTGTATTTGTATGCGTGTATCAGTCCGTAAAGGCGTTAAGACAGTGGTAAAATATGCCAAGATGACATTTCTTGCTGGCACCATAACAATATATCCCACTTCTATTGAATCGTAATTGAGGCGTTGTAATTCCCCGCTCCACGATGTGCATATCACTTGTTTACACTTTGGATATGAACTGAGTAACTAGAATAAAGGCGTCACATGCGTTCGTGGTTTTCCATTCTTTCGGTCTGAATCAGCGGTCTGAATCAGATTTCCCTTTGGATTTTTGATTATATGCTATAAAGTGGCATTGTAATGCATCACAAGTATTAATACTCAGTAATTCATACGCATGACCAATGTAACAATGTTCCACTATAATATGCCCATATTAAGTACTCTGAGTGGATTTTTACAAAGCCTGCAACTGGCAGGTATGAACAAGCAACGGCCCTGGATTTGTCAAAACGTGTAACAGCTCATTAACAAGCAACACATTTGTTTGTCTGCAGGATTGTTGGTTTGGCGCTCGTGTGTGGATTGTGTCCGTGTGCATAGCAGCGTTGTGTTCTCCTGTGGGGAGCGGTAGTGTAGCGGTTAGCGCGCCGCGCTATGAACCTGGCGACCCGGGTTCGATTCCCGCTCACGGCTAACACCAGTGACGATTATCTGAAACGGTCCTGGGCCTCCCATAGGTCGACTCAGCCTTAAATGAGTACCTGGTGCGGTGTGTAAACATTGCCACTAGGGAGACAAAGGCGGTCGGGCGTGGTGCTGGCCACCCACCCCCTTGTGTACCGTTCTGGCCTTCATAGGTGCTCGCTAACAGCACTTGCCCCTACAGTTTGTTCAGGCTATACGGGGGATCTTTGTCTTTGTTGTGTTCTCCGATGTATAAGCATGCTCAACGTGGAAATCACACATTTGAATTGAATGTCAACAAATGAAGAAAATTTTTATCTTAAACACAAATAATGGGTCTTCTCCCTCGTGTTTTTTTTCTCACAATTATAGTCATTATTTTTTTGTTAGATTAATTTGCTTCTTCTTCGTATCAGTGTGAACAATTGCTCTTAGGTGCAATAGAAAATAACGGGGGCATGTCTATAAGGTGTTGT